CCCAAAAAAAAAAAAAAAAAAAAAATAGCTAACCAAGAATAGACATATGAAGAACTTCAAAAATATAAAGTGCCTCAACACAGAATTTTAATTCGGGATTTAAAAATTAACCTCCTCCTTACTGTCAAGTAAAACATTTTACCTCTGGAATCTTTGGATTTATAAGGCATCTGGAATAAGCTCAAATTCCAAGAGAAGTAATCACATTCCATACAGCTACTGATGGCCCAAAAGGCAATGCCAAAGACAAAAGAAATCTATAGGGGCAAATCTTTCACCATGAAAAATTTGATCACTTACACTGCTGTTCTCAGAACAACATCCTAGCTCGCAAATAACATTCATATACTTTATTTTCAAGATAAAATAGATTTTGTTAATATTCTGTACCAAGATATAGCTTTAGGACCAGAAATTAAGGTTTTATAGGTTTCAAAAAGACAAACAGAAGACTGGCTTACCTATCTCACATTGATATTTATCTACTGGAAAATAAAACAATAGCACTAATTTGTTCCAAACAAATAAAAAATAAATTGCATTAAAAAGAACAGTTAAAATTTTTAAACAAATAATTTTAGAGAGACAATATAGCCATTTAGACAAAGTAATCTTAGTTACTTTTCTGAGCTAAATCTCTTTTCTAATCTCTCCTGTGTAAATTTAGGCTGACAACAACTGTCATTATAAATACTAAGATTCATGACTGTAATTTCAAGGACTTTGAGAGGCTGGGGTAGGAGGAACACTTAGAGGCAGGAGGAATGCTTAGACCTAGGAGTTCAAGACCAGTGTGGGCAACATAGCAAGACTCCTCTCTACAAAAATAAAAATTAAAAATTAGCCTGCCTTTATTCCCAGTTACTCAGGAGGCAGAGGTGGAAGGATCACCTGAGCCAAGGGGAGTCAAGGTGCAGTATGCTGATTGTGCCACTGCATCCCCATCTGGGTGAGAATGAGACTTTGACTAAAAAAAAAAAAAAAAAAAAAAAATTATTGTCATTATGATTGTTGTCATTATGATTGTTATAGAACTATTACTAGTTTTGTAGAAAATCAATAGTTTGTGATACAGTATTATTGAATATTTAAAATAGATCATTGCTGGGAAAATTGGAGTTATGATATTTCCACATAATTAAACATCAATTTTATAGTCTTGAAGTACAAGTATATAAGAACATTCTAGAAAATCTAAAGATGAGTAACAGGGAAAGTGCTGATGAGACTATAAACTGGTAGAACTTCTTTCAGGACAATATAACAGTATTTATCATAAGTACTACATGCTGGTAATTCCATTTATTTTAGGAAAATCATACTGGACAATAAAAAATATAACTATAGAGATGAGCAATACTATTTATAATAAAGAAAAAATTAGGCCCACAATGGGAAATAAATTTAAACATTGAAATACATAATCATGCTGCTTTTTTTTTTTTTTTTTTTTGATTTGGAATCTCACTCTGTCGCCTAGACTGGAGTGCAGTGGCCGCTCCCAGCCACCACAGCCTCGACCTGCTGGGCTCCAGCGATCCTTCCGCCTCAGCCCTCCAAGTAGCCGGAATTACAGGCATGCGCTACCACGCCCGGCTGATTTTTTGATTGATTGTGGAGATGAGGTCTCGCTGCCCAGGCGGGTCTCGAACCCGCGGGCTCAGGCAATCCAATCATCTCAGCCTCCCAAAGGCACGGGATTACAGGCTGAGCCACCGAGCCCGGCTATCACATTTATTTTTATGTAGTAAAAAGAATATCCTTAGGAGCAATTTAAGAACATAAGGAAATAACAAAGAAGTGAGAAAGCTAAAAGATCTTCTATTGAATAAGGTCACACATCTGCTTAAACATGCATGCATACATACATATACAGACATACACATACACAGAGCCAGAAAGGAAAAAAGACCACAAGATAGCACTCCTAGAATATTAACATAACTACTAACTGAGAGAAGGATTACAAATTCTTTCATTTTCTTAATACTTTTTTCTACACTTATGACTATACATTGATTTTATAGCTGGAAAAATTGTATTTTCTTTTTTTTGACAATTATTTACGACCCTTATTAACAGGTGCTTGGAGTTTGTTGATTTTTTTTTTTTTTTTTTAAATCAAGTTGTAAGCTTTTATTACAAATTAAAAAATGAAGTTCTTAAAAATCTCAACTTGACCAGATATGAAACAATTTAAAAACCTTTAAAGGTATAGTGAGAAAAACCAGGCTTTTTTTAAAAACACGTTTGTTATTACCAAAAAGAGATGTCTTTAGGTAAAAATAATAAAAGTCACATCCTGCATAGATAGTTCTAGTTATCTGGTCAACGGGCAAAAAGCAAGCACTTAAGGTCTTCAGCTCCAATCTTTTGTCATTTCTTATTGCTGGAATTTCATATTCATTTCTTCTCATTGGATGACTAAACCGGATGATGCTCCAGGTGGTAAGCCAGTATTTACTTTGCCCTGCCCTGCTCAGCCTCGGAGCGGACGAATTCTCAGCTGGTGGATCGGCTGCTTTCGTCTCTTTGAATCTTGGGGTTTAGGGTTTTCTGGGTATCTGCGTCGGTAATTGAAGTTGCGGTGGTACCGATATTGAGGTGGCTGCTGAGCTTGGGTCTCATCTCCTTGATTTTCTTTATCCTCTTCATTGCTGTCCTCTCTAGGCTGTCTTTGGCGGGGTTACAGGAAACGTGGTCTGTAAGCCCGATACATATTCTGCCTCACTGGTCTACCTTGTTCTCCTGCACCCTGTTGTCAGCACCCTCCATCACTTCTCCTTGCACAGGAGGGTTGGAATACTGTGGTCGACGCCCATAGGGCCTCCACATGTAGTAAAGTGGGAACCTTCGCCTGTGGTAGGGCCTACGTTGTTGAGCCTGGCCTTTGGGAGCACTCTCCAATCCCTTGTTCTTTTCCCCACTCTCACTATTCTGGTAATTCTGCTGGTAATTGCGTGGAGGACCCCTATGATGTGGATAGCGTCTATAGTGGTTACAATCTGCTGCATATTTACTGCCTTGAACTGGAACACCAACAGGGCCTGTAACATTTGCTGCCTCCGCACCCTTTTCTCCTTCAACATCAAACTCCACAGTCTCCCCATCTCCTACACTTCGAAGGTACTTCCTGTGGTTATTCTTCTTTATGGCAGTCTGTTGTACAAATGCATCTTCCTTGGTGTCATTCCTGTTGATGAAACCATATCCGTTTCTTACATTGAACCATTTTACTGTTCCCAAAACCTTCGTTGCGATAATGTTCTTGTCCCCGCTGGCAGGCGCTGCTGATGTGAGGCCGCCCGGGCCACCGCTCCCTGAGCCGCTGCCCGTGGTGCCGGGTTTGGTGTGGGCGGCGCTGAGGGCAGGGGAGAGGGGGGCAGTGGGCGGCTGCTGGGTATCGGCCTCGCTGCTCATGGTTGCAGTGATGGTGACTGGGGCCGGCTGCAGCAGCGGTGGGGCTACTTAGGACTTTCTGGGGGTCTGCTCTCCGCTCCCAATCTAACTCAAAAATTGTATTTTCTTAACTACTATGACCTTTAACTTCTGAAATTATTTAAATTTAAGTAACATGCCTAACAACACAAATGGATTAGTAAAATATTTTTAGAAGCATTAGAGACAATAAAAATAAATGGCAAACATTTTCCCTATTTATCCTGTGAGGTTTTTGATTATACATTCTTTTTTATTTTTCAGTACATCCTACTTACCTTTTGCCACTTACGAAACAATGGAAGAAACTGACAACAGCTTAACTCCAATATCCTTTTGTATTGTTGTAATATACTTTTATGAACATTCTAACCAGAAAAGTACATTATTGTTGTTATTTTTAACTGTTATCATTCATTTATATCTACTTAAACACTTCCTTTCCTGAACCTTCTTTCTTGCAGTTACATGCATCTATTTGGGTCTGAAGAAGGTTCTTTAAATATTTCCCCTATTACAGATCTACTGGCAACTTCTCTCAGTTTCTTTGTCTGAAATGGCTTTGTTTTGCCTTCAATTTATCTTTCTGAATGCAGAATATGGCTTTATAATATAGTAATATTTAAAATAAACATTAACTTTAATTGTTCATGAGTATACTACAAATTCTGACTGATGTTATTTATCTGTTTATTTATTTGTTTGCTTATTTATTATTTTTTCAGTCAGGGTCTCACTCTGTCACCCAGGCTGGAGTATAATGGCACGTTCATGGCTACCACAGCCTTAACCTGCTTGGCTCAGGCGATCCTCCTGCCTCAGCCTTCCAAGTAGCTGGAACTACAGGCATTTGCTATCACGCCCAGCTAATTTTTCTTGATATATTATAGAGATGAGGTCTCACCAAGTTGCCCAGGCTAGTCACTTTTCTGATACATTCTTTGACAGAGTTCCTAACAATAGATCTTAATGATAAACAGTAACTGCTTCAAGCCTAATTATTTTTGATAGGCCTAGCCACTTTTGACAAAAATATACTTTTTATGGGGAAGCCAGTCCAATCCCCAAAACCAAATTTGACATCTTTGAAACAGAACTCCTTTAAAGGCACTTTCAATAGTTATTTCAATATTGACATCTGGATGAGAAATGAAGCTTTCAATCTGCAGAGCCTCAGCCTTGAAGTTGTCGATTGTTTCAACTTCTGGAAGATTTTGAGCTTGGAGAAAGGTCTTGATCCATGATAAGGTTGACTTGTCCATTGTAATTCATGCAAAGACACACATCACCCAATGTATGTATGTACAGTGTTCGCTGGCTTCATGCCTATTACTTACAGAATCATGTAGATGAGCTGGGAGCAGGTGATGTTGAAATGTACCCAAAGACCCATGATCTTGATCTCTGTTATAACTGGCAGGAAAGCACACTGTTCAGCACACTAAACTGCCAAAGATGTGGTTCCATCAAAGGAAGATCTTTCAGGTTTCATGAACATGTAGATTCTCCTGCTATTAAGTTGATTTTTATTAAGTCAGTAACTTTGGCAGTTGGCCTGTTACTAAACTACAATAATTTGTATTAATCTTTTTTATTCTGTCCTAAAATATCTCCACTAAAAAGCCACAAACTATGCCTAAATGCTCTGCTCTGATAGAGAATACTGGGCTGGTAAAAAAAATTGATCTTCAAAATCTTTATTCTCTTGGAAGATAATTTTCTGGTATTTGTGGATACCTAGAAATAGCACAAATCCTCCTCTAAAGCACTCTTAAAGAATATGTATTTGGTTGGAAGTAAAAACAAAACCAACTCTTTTCAGGTGGAAGCAAGCTTACATGCAGAGTACAGACAGAATGCTGCCGTTGGTTGAATCCGTTTTGTATCTGCAGGAGAAGATATACTCCATCTGTTCAAGATGCTGTAGCCTTCAATGCAGCCATGACTGTGACATGGGAATCAGTCCACACATGAACTGGCAGATGCCCCTAAGTCCACACACCCTCTCCTTGGGCAGCAAGTAGCAAAAACATAAAAGGTGCTTTGCAGCAAAGGGCAGTTCATGGCATAGATGTTGCAACTGCTGCTATAATTGTTGGTAGGAATAGCCTTATCTTCACTTCTGAATGATATTTTTGCTGGTAAATAGTTTTAGGTTAACAGATTTAGTTTTGTTTGTTCCTTTCAGCACTTAAAGAATGTCATTCTGTTATCTGTCAACTTCCATAACTACTCTTGAAAAGTAAGTTTCACCGTGCTCGGTGGTTCAGCCTGTAATCCTGCACTTTGAGAGGCCAAGGTGAGTGGATTACCTGAACCCGTGGGTTTGAGACCCGCTTGGCCAACTTGGTGAGACCTCATCTCTACAGTAAATCAAAAAAATTAGCCAGGCGTGGTAGTGTGTGCCTGTAGTTCCAGCTACTTAGAAGGCTGAGGCGGAAGGATCTCTGGAGCACAGCAGGTTGAGGCTGTGGTGGCCGGGAGCAGCCACTGCACTCCAGTCTGGGTGACAGAGTGAGACTTCAACTCAAAAAAAAAAAAATACTTGGCATTCTCAGCATTTTTAAATTTAACCATTCTAACAGACATGTATGTAATGGTATCTTGTCATTTTAATTTAATTTATATTTTGCTAATGATCTTATTTGCTATCTGTATATCTTCTCTGAAGTGTCATTTCAAATATTTTGCCCATTTTAAAAACATTTTGTTTATTTTCTTATTGGTGAGTTTTTTGGGTTCTATAAATGTGCCACACACAAGTACCTCATTTACTATGTTATTTACAAATATTATTTCCAGCCCATGGCTTCTGTTTTTATTCTCTAACAGCATCCTTCAAAAAGCAGTTTTAAATTTTGATAAAGTTCAATTTAAAAACTTTTTGCTCTTGTAAACATGCCTTTGGTGTCTTACTTATAAAACTGAACCCAAGATCATGAAGCTTTTTTCCTATAATTTATTCTAAAATATTTATAGATTTAGATCTTATATTTAAGTGTATAAGCCATTTTGAGTTGACTCTTTAAAGTTGATTTTACAGTGTAAGTCAAGGTGCTTTAAAATACATATACAGATATACAGTTGTTCCAGAATTATTTGTTGAAAATAATATTCATTCTTCATTGAATCACTGCTGCACCTTTATCAAACATCACTTTATTATATTTGTGTCCTATTTCTGAATTATCTATTTATTCTACTGGTCTATGTATACATTATTCTTTTGCCAATATCACTCAATGCTGACTCGTGAAACTTATAATGTATCTTAAAACTGTAGTGTAAGTCCTCCAATTTTGTTCTTCTTTCCCAAAATTGCTGTGGCTATTCCGATCTCTTTGTCTTAAAATATAAATTTGAGAATCAACATGTCTATATGCAGAGAATCTTCCTAAGATTTTTAGTGGCATTTTATTGCATTTCACATCAATTTGGGGGGAACTGAAATCTTAAGATAACTTAAAACTACTGAATCTTCTACTTCACAAATATAATGCTTTTCTCTATTTATTTAGGTCTTCTTTGATTTGTTTCATTCCTGTTTTGTGGTTTTTGATACCTAAATATTTTATTATCATTAGAGGTACTGTAAATAGCATTTTTAAAAACCTCAATTGTTTATTGCTAGTGTATAGAAATGTGATTAAATTTTATATGTTGATTTTCTGTCCTGCCTTGTTGAACTCTCTTATTGATTATTAAATTTCTTTGGGGGGGAGGTAGATTCCTTGGAACTTTCTACATAGAGAATCATGTTATATAGTTTTATTTCTTATTTCCACTAACTTATGTATTTCAAGTGTTTTTGTAATCAGTTTTTTCCCAGTGTGGATACTTTTTTTTTTCTCCTCCAAATTCCTGGTTTATAAGGACTTGTTTATTTTGAGGAAAAAAGGTCCCAAACATCAGGCTGTTCACAAAAATAACCCACAGTATCAATTTTAGAAAACAAAGACTAGCTAATCCTTGATTGTAGTCCCAAAAAAGCCTTGTGAAAATGTTATGCCTGATGTAACAGCAAAGTAACATACAATAAAATTACATTTTATAAACCATTTACTATGGCTTTGTAACAATTGCATACCCACATTTTAAGGGACAGGTGAATTTACTACTTTCTAAAGTTTATTGATACTTCCCTTTTATCTTATGTAAAATGTAGTAATACCTATATTTCTGCATTGTGATACACTTGTCTAGCGTTACCTGGAAATGTATAAAATTGGAGTACATTTCTTAGAAGTGTTTTACTATAGATTAGTCTCATGGGCCATCTCTCTTCCTCAGATGTAAATGATATCTGGTTATGTGTTACATGGAATAAAGTGGACATTTTAAAACTAAAAAACAAAGAAAAAAAACAAAGACTATTACACTAATTATTTTTCTACAGGATGCATTTGACATGCCAACTCTCATTCACAAAAATACATTGTTACATTTGTGTTGAACTGCCCCACACAGTACACTTATGTGAGAGTATAACACACATACTTCCAACTCAAAGCTGCTCTCAAGTGCTACTCAACTAAATGAGATAGATTGTCTTTGCAGCTATAGAAGCAACTACTGAACTCATGTATGAATGAAAAGAACTGTACTCCCTGCATAACAAGAGATTATTTTGGAGACAATTGATAAAAACCATACATCCTTTTTATTGTTAAGTCATACAGAGGTATCAAAAGCAAAAATTATGGGGTAAGACTTAACAAAACTACTAGGAGCGTCAAAGGAAGAGAAAATGGGACTAGGCGCAGGGCAATATGAATTAATGAACATGGGAAGGACAAGGATGTGGAGAACAATGAGCATGTGCTGAAGACACTAGGGGAGAGGATCTGGTGAAAATTTTGATCTTAGACAAGTGCCTAGGTAAAGAAATAATGGGATAAGATCTCCAAACCCCACTATGTGCTTAAGAGTCATCCTCACCATTGGCACTGTCTCTGTCATCCTCTCCTTCCTCAGTCTCTTTTTCATCATCCTTGATCAACTCCAGCTGGTCATCCCCCCATCTTC